GTAGGGAGGGAAAAAGTGTGAAGACGTACGCCACTGACAAGTTGGCTGACAACCCTCCAACAACAGTCCACGACCATGTTGTCTTCCTTTGGCTTCATCGTAAACGGGGGATTCAGCTGGTTACCAGCCGAGACCCCGGTGAAAGTGGAATTGTTCAGCCCGTCGCGAGCACCAAGTTCACCTGAGGTCACACAGGCTATTCCACCCCCCGCCCACGGGCAAGCTAGCCTACAGCGACAACTTGACCTGAAGACGTGCGGCAATTTTCACCAAATCGGATGTTTCGAAATGTCAGTCAGCTAATTACGGTCACCCATCACAAGCCCAACCTAATTTTCACACCTTGTAAAAACGTGTCACGAAGTTGAGTTGGTCGTGGTAGTGGTCGCCTACCATCCACGTTGAGCGGGGGACAATTTCGCCGAAATTAATTTCGTAATTTCGCTCTTCCTTCCTTCGTTTTCTTCCGGATCTTCAAGACCGCACTCAGCACAGATGTTATCATATGCTACGAACTCATGCAAACTGGGTACGGTAGGTGTTTCTCCGATGACTTCCGTGCGGGGATCACGCCTCGCGTCATACACACCAATTGCTCGTCGCGGGCCAGGTTGGACAGCTGGAACAGTCCCTGCTTCCCTCCCTCATCCGAGCTTGAAATATCAACAACGGCCGTTTCATCGTGAACGACAGAGTCTTCTGGGCCAGCTGTGACAAGTCCTTTCGGAATCTCCGTCGGAAGGAGGGCAGGAGCATCCAAGTTCAACAATGTAGACGGCGGCAGTTGGTCGTAGTCAGCGATGCTCGTATCCGTGTTCAGGTTGATGGGAGATGGGAAAGTAAATGGGGATAACTCCCGGGTACCAGCCTGCTGTACAAAACTACGATGCCACATGGCATACACTGCAAAATGTCCGGGCTCCATCCGTTGATAAAGTGTTCGAACGTCGTTCAACACCATGTTCAACAAGGCGCTTGGTGTTCGCATTCCATATCTTGGCGCATCCAACGGTGTGAATGAAACAGCAATCGCACCGTTGTTTTCACGGGTCCAACGGGAACACACGGGAAGTTCGGTGGTCTCTACATTCTGTGCCATGGCAAAGTGCAGAAGATGCCGGCAGGGTATGCCAAATTGAACAAACTTCTTACACGTGCACGTTCGGGTTGCATGGGTGATTGTCTCCCGCCGACGATCCATCATGATGGTAGCGTGCTCGTCGCTGCTCATGACCGTAATTGGATGGGTTGAGCTCAAATCAGATGCCATTTTGGAAATGGCGTATGGCATCAAACGACGGCACAATCTATCCAATTCAGGATGGCCGACAATGCAAAGATCACGGCGAGGCGCATCGGATACGGTTTCCTGACGATTCCATATCAAATACGTCGCGCTCATCCGTGAAACCCGTATGGCCTCCCACAGTCCAATTTTCCCGTTAAGTAGTTCCATTTTCAGGCATCGGTGCATGGCCTCGACCATGTTTGTATCGTGAATGCCATAGTTTGCAACTCGTGGCATTCTGCAGCTGGCCCACTTGGAAGCGTTCGGGAGAAGAAACGAATTTATGTACATGAAAAAAGGAGGGTCATTTAAACGTATAAGTTCCAAAAACGCTAAATACTTCCACAATCGGGATGTGTGCATGGCAACAAAAAAACGCGTAAATGATTGTGATCGTGGAAAACGTTTGATAACGTTCCTAAGAATATGTACACGACATAATAAATGATAAGCAAAAGGAAAAACACTAGCAATTGCGTTTCCGATGGCAAGCGCACCGTCAGACATGATGCACTTGACGAGAGAAGCGCTACCGACAAATTCCAGAAATGTTAGCAGAAACGTTCGGACGTCTGCCTCAGTCTCCCGCCAAAGAAAACCAATGGCCACAGGTAGACTTTTACGGCAGCCATCGACTATAAGCAACTGATACAAAAAATATTTGTGCTGGTTCGTGGAAAAAGTACTGTCAATAAGTAAAAAATCGGGAAACCGTCTGTACAGATCGAGCATCTCTGAGGTGGAGTAGATGAAGTGGGTCACTCTGTTACTTCCATCCCTCAAACAGCGGGCTCGTCCTTGTTCGTTGAACTGCGACTCCAAATCGAGAATATAACCTGCAAAAAGTACTTATTTTTAACAATAATTGGAATTACTTGGATTGTTCCGCCCAAACATGTGTCGCGCCCGGATATTGCCGATATCGCTGGTTGTGAGATATTTACCGAACTTCGACCTCACATAGAACCGGATGTTAAAGCATCGGCTCCGACATTCAAGCATTGGCCGAATGATTTCCAGTTCCTCCGGCAGCAGTCGACGGTTACGGTTAAACCACCGAGATGCTTCGGGACCAAGCAGCTCGTGATTGTGTACCATATGAGATTTCGTAACCCGAAAGAAGGTTCCCAGTCTGCCAACGTTAAAGAACGCCTCACAATGTGTGTGATCAAGCAGCCGGCGTCGTTTTCCCTCGTTTGGAGGACGTGCGAACCCTTTCCGGTGGCATTGGTATTTGATGAAAGTTTTCTCACCAGAGGAATTCGCTTTCGAGTTTCGCACACTGTAGTACCATCCCGATAACCGCTCGAACTGCTTAATGCAGTGCACCAGTTCATGAACGTTGCCGAATACGCGGCTACCCAGGTGACTCGCGAACAAGGGGGTGACGTCCACTGTGTACCCTTCAGCAGACACGGGAGCAGCTGCAACGAGAGACTGCGACGAGGAAGCCATGACGAGTGTGCCTGGACGCGCTGCACAGCCTGTTTTATGGAACACCTCAACCAATGAAATGGGAGAACTAGCATTTTTCTTCGATGAATATGTACTACTGAAAGCTTTAGTAGTAGTGCAAACTTTACGATGAGTGGCGTATCCAGACAGGAACGAAAAAATCAGTTGGTGGAAATAGTGATATATTCCACATGCTATACATATTCGCCAATTCGAATAGATACGTGCTGGTTGTTAAGCTTTTCTGAATTCTGGATTTCGAGCTAGTCGGGTTATACGGATATACGTACGAAACTTATTTCTCACAGTTCCTCAGATTCATTCCTTTCACTCTTACTGCAGCACCATTTACGTATTCACTGGGACATCCTTTACTAAGAAATTATGTAACCGCGCAATATTTCTAGAACCTGTCCATGGACATCGGCTAAAGCAGGCTTCACTTCCAAATCAAACCCACTGATAATAATTTACGAATTGTTGGTGAAGGACGAATAGCTGAATTTATTCGAAAGTTTGCTCACAAAAAAACACCAAAATATAGTTACAATGGGGGGTTGGATAAGGCAGCTGCGATGGTGCCACCGTGTGCAATACGGACATTGAACCCAGTTGACGGTTCTTCCTTCGTTTTCCTCAGGATCTTCTAGGCCGCACTCGGCACAGATGGTATCATCTACTAGGAAATCTTGCAAACTGGGTATGGTGGGTGTTTCATCCACGACTTCCGACCGGGGATCTCGCCTCGCGTCGTACACACCGACTGCTCGTCTCGGCCCAGTTTGGACAGCTGGGATAGTCCCATCATCATCAGAGCTGGAAATATCGACAACCGCAACTTCGCCGGGAACAACAGAGTCTTCAGGGGCCTCTGTGACAAGTCCCTCAGGAATCTCCGTCGCAACGAGGGCAGGAGCATCCAAGTTCAACAATACAGACGGAGGTAATTGGTCGTAGTCCGCGATGCTCGTATCCGTACTCAGGTTGACGGGAGGTGGAAAAATAAAAGGGGGTGACTCTCGTGGGCCAGCCTGCTGCACGAAACTACGATGCCAAGCGGCGTACACTGCAAAATGCTCGAGCTCCATCCGCTGATACAGTGTTCGCACGTCGTTCAACACCATGTTCAACAAGGCGCTTGGGTTTCGCGTTCCACTTCTTGCCGCATCCAACTGCGCAAATGAAACAGCAATCGCACCGTTGTTTTCACGGGTCCAACGGGAACACACGGGAAGTTCGGTGGTCTCTCCATTCTGTGCCATGGCAAAGTGCAGAAGATGCCGGCAAGGTATGCCAAATTGAACAAACTTCTTACACGTGCACGTTCGGGTTGCATGGGTGATTGTCTCCCGCCGACGATCCATCATGATGGTAGCGTGCTCGTTGCTGCTCATGACCGTAATTGGATGGGTTGAGCTCAAATCAGATGCCATTTTGGAAATGGCGTATGGCATCAAACGACGGCACAATCTATCCAATTCAGGATGGCCGACAATGCGAAGATCACGACGAGACGCATCGGATACGGTTTTCTGACGATTCCATATCACATACGTCGCGCTCATCCGTGAAACCCGTATGGCCTCCCACAGTCCAATTTTCAGGCATCGGTGCATGGCCTCGACCATGTTTGTATCGTGAATGCCATAGTTTGCAACTCGTGGCATTCTGCAGCTGGCCCACTTGGAAGCGTTCGGGAGAAGAAACGAATTTATGCACATGAAAAAAGGATGGTCATTTAAACGAATAAGTTCCAAAAACGCTAAATACTTCCACAATCGGGATGTGTGCATGGCAACGAAAAAAACGCGTAAATGATTGCGATCGTGGTAAACGTTTGATAACGTTCCTAAGAATATGTACACGACATAATAAATGAATAGCAAAAGGAAATACACTAGCAATTGCGTTTCCGATGGCAAGCGCACCGTCAGATATGATGCACTTGACCAGAGAACCGCTACCGACAAACTCCAGAAAAGTTAGCAGAAACGTTCGCACGTCTGCCTCAGTCTCCCGCCAAAGAAAACCAATGGCCACAGGTAGACGTTTACGGCAGCCATCGACTATAAGCAACTGATACAAAAAATATTTGTGTTGGTTCGTGGAAAAAGTACTGTCGATAAGTAAAAAATCGGGAAACCGTCTGTACAGATCGAGCATCTCTGAGGTGGAGTAGATGAAGTGGGTCACTCTGTTACTTCCATCCCTCAAACAGCGGGCTCGTCCTTGTTCGTTGAACTGCGACTCCAAGTCGAGAATATAACCTGCAAAAAGTACTTATTTTTAACAATAATTGGAATTACTTGGATTGTTCCGCCCAAACATGTGTCGCGCCCGGATATTGCCGATATCGCTGGTTGTGAGATATTTACCGAACTTCGACCTCACATAGAACCGGATGTTAAAGCATCGGCTCCGACATTCAAGCATTGGCCGAATGATTTCCAGTTCCTCCGGCAGCAGTCGACGGTTACGGTCAAACCACCGAGATGCTTCGGGACCAAGCAGCTCGTGATTGTGTACCATATGAGATTTCGTAACCCGAAAGAAGGTTCCCAGTCTGCCAACGTTAAAGAACGCCTCACAATGTGTGTGATCAAGCAGCCGGCGTCGTTTTCCCTCGTTTGGAGGACGTGCGAACCCCTTCCGGTGGCATTGGTATTTGATGAAAGTTTTCTCACCAGAGGAATTCGCTTTCGAGTTTCGCACACTGCAGTACCATCCCGATAACCGCTCGAACTGCTTAATGCGGTGCACCAGTTCATGAACGTTGCCGAATACTCGGCTACCCAGGTGACTCGCGAACAAGGGGGTGACGTCCACTGTGTACTCTTCCGCAGACACGGGAGCAGCTGCAACGAGAGACTGCGACGAGGAAGCCATGACGAGTGTGCCTGGACGCGCTGCACAGCCGGTTTTATGGAACACCTCAACCAATGAAATGGGAGAACTAGGATTTTTCTTCGATGAATATGTACTACTGAAAGCTTTAGTAGTAGTGCAAACTTTACGATGAGTGGCGTATCCAGACAGGAACGAAAAAATCAGTTGGTGGAAATAGTGATATATTCCACATGCTATACATATTCGCCAATTCGAATAGATACGTGCTGGTTGTTAAGCTTTTCTGAATTCTGGATTTCGAGCTAGTCGGGTTATACGGATATACGTACGAAACTTATTTCTCACAGTTCCTCAGATTCATTCCTTTCACTCTTACTGCAGCACCATTTACGTATTCACTGGGACATCCTTTACTAAGAAATTATGTAACCGCGCAATATTTCTAGAACCTGTCCATGGACATCGGCTAAAGCAGGCTTCACTTCCAAATCAAACCCACTGATAATAATTTACGAATTGTTGGTGAAGGACGAATAGCTGAATTTATTCGAAAGTTTGCTCACAAAAAAACACCAAAATATAGTTACAATGGGGGGTTGGATAAGGCAGCTGCGATGGTGCCACCGTGTGCAATACGGACATTGAACCCAGTTGACGGTTCTTCCTTCGTTTTCCTCAGGATCTTCTAGGCCGCACTCGGCACAGATGGTATCATCTACTAGGAAATCTTGCAAACTGGGTACGGTGGGTGTTTCATCCACGGTTTCCGACCGGGGATCTCGCCTCGCGTCGTACACACCGACTGCTCGTCTCGGCCCAGTTTGGACAGCTGGGATAGTCCCATCATCATCCAAGCTGGAAATATCTACAACCGCAACTTCGCCGGGAACAACAGAGTCTTCAGGGGCCTCTGTGACAAGTCCCTCAGGAATCTCCGTCGCAACGAGGGCAGGAGCATCCAAGTTCAACAATACAGACGGAGGCAATTGGTCGTAGTCCGCGATGCTCGTATCCGTACTCAGGTTGACGGGAGGTGGAAAAATAAAAGGGGGTGACTCTCGTGGGCCAGCCTGCTGCACGAAACTACGATGCCAAGCGGAGTACACTGCAAAATGCTCGAGCTCCATCCGCTGATACAGTGTTCGCACGTCGTTCAACACCATGTTCAACAAGGCGCTTGGGTTTCGCGTTCCACTTCTTGGCGCATCCAACTGCGCAAATGAAACAGCAATCGCACCGTTGTTTTCACGGGTCCAACGGGAACACACGGGAAGTTCGGTGGTCTCTCCATTCTGTGCCATGGCAAAGTGCAGAAGATGCCGGCAAGGTATGCCAAATTGAACAAACTTCTTACACGTGCACGTTCGGGTTGCATGGGTGATTGTCTCCCGCCGACGATCCATCATGATGGTAGCGTGCTCGTCGCTGCTCATGACCGTAATTGGATGGGTTGAGCTCAAATCAGATGCCATTTTGGAAATGGCGTATGGCATCAAACGACGGCACAATCTATCCAATTCAGGATGGCCGACAATGCAAAGATCACGACGAGACGCATCGGATACGGTTTTCTGACGATTCCATATCAAATACGTCGCGCTCATCCGTGAAACCCGTATGGCCTCCCACAGTCCAATTTTCCCGTTAAGTAGTTCCATTTTCAGGCATCGGTGCATGGCCTCAACCATGTTTGTATCGTGAATGCCATAGTTTGCAACTCGTGCAATTCTGCAGCTGGCCCACTTGGAAGCGTTCGGGAGAAGAAACGAATTTATGTACATGAAAAAAGGAGGGTCATTTAAACGAATAAGTTCCAAAAACGCTAAATACTTCCACAATCGGGATGTGTGCATGGCAACAAAAAAACGCGTAAATGATTGTGATCGTGGAAAACGTTTGATAACGTTCCTAAGAATATGTACACGACATAATAAATGATTAGCAAAAGGAAAGACACTGGCAATTGCGTTTCCGATGGCAAGCGCACCGTCAGATATGATGCACTTGACGAGAGAAGCGCTACCGACAAATTCTAGAAAAGTTAGCAGAAACGTTCGGACGTCTGTCTCAGTCTCGCGCCAAAGAAAACCAATGGCCACAGGGAGACTTTTACGACAGCCGTCAACGATAAGCAATTGATACAAAAAATACTTGTGTTGGTTCGTGGAAAAAGTGCTGTCAATGAGTAAAAAATCAGGAAACCGTCTGTACAGTTCGACCATCTCTGAGGTGGAGCAGATGAAGTGAGTCACTCTATTGCTTTCATCCCTCATACCGCGGGCACGGCCCTGTTCGTTGAACTGAGACTACAAGTCAAAAGTATGGGTCAAGAATGTAACCTAAATTCTTGACTTGTAGTCTCAGTTCAACGAACAGGGCCGTGCCCGCGGTATGAGGGATGAAAGCAATAGAGTGACTCACTTCATCTGCTCCACCTCAGAGATGGTCGAACTGTACAGACGGTTTCCTGATTTTTTACTCATTGACAGCACTTTTTCCACGAACCAACACAAGTATTTTTTGTATCAATTGCTTATCGTTGACGGCTGTCGTAAAAGTCTCCCTGTGGCCATTGGTTTTCTTTGGCGCGAGACTGAGACAGACGTCCGAACGTTTCTGCTAACTTTTCTAGAATTTGTCGGTAGCGCTTCTCTCGTCAAGTGCATCATATCTGACGGTGCGCTTGCCATCGGAAACGCAATTGCCAGTGTCTTTCCTTTTGCTAATCATTTATTATGTCGTGTACATATTCTTAGGAACGTTATCAAACGTTTTCCACGATCACAATCATTTACGCGTTTTTTTGTTGCCATGCACACATCCCGATTGTGGAAGTATTTAGCGTTTTTGGAACTTATTCGTTTAAATGACCCTCCTTTTTTCATGTACATAAATTCGTTTCTTCTCCCGAACGCTTCCAAGTGGGCCAGCTGCAGAATTGCACGAGTTGCAAACTATGGCATTCACGATACAAACATGGTTGAGGCCATGCACCGATGCCTGAAAATGGAACTACTTAACGGGAAAATTGGACTGTGGGAGGCCATACGGGTTTCACGGATGAGCGCGACGTATTTGATATGGAATCGTCAGGAAACCGTATCCGATGCGCCTCGCCGTGATCTTTGCATTGTCGGCCATCCTGAATTGGATAGATTGTGCCGTCGTTTGATGCCATACGCCATTTCCAAAATGGCATCTGATTTTAGCTCAACCCATCCAATTACGGTCATGAGCAGCGACGAGCACGCTACCATCATGATGGATCGTCGGCGGGAGACAATCACCCATGCAACCCGAACGTGCACGTGTAAGAAGTTTGTTCAATTTGGCATACCTTGCCGGCATCTTCTGCACTTTGCCGTGGCACAGAATGTAGAGACCACCGAACTTCCCGTGTGTTCCCGTTGGACCCGTGAAAACAACGGTGCGATTGCTGTTTCATTCACACCGTTGGATGCGCCAAGATATGGAATGCGAACACCAAGCGCCTTGTTGAACATGGTGTTGAACGACGTTCGAACACTTTATCAACGGATGGAGCCCGGACATTTTGCAGTGTATGCCATGTGGCATCGTAGTTTTGTACAGCAGGCTGGTACCCGGGAGTTATCCCCATTTACTTTCCCATCTCCCATCAACCTGAACACGGATACGAGCATCGCTGACTACGACCAACTGCCGCCGTCTACATTGTTGAACTTGGATGCTCCTGCCCTCCTTCCGACGGAGATTCCGAAAGGACTTGTCACAGCTGGCCCAGAAGACTCTGTCGTTCACGATGAAACGGCCGTTGTTGATATTTCAAGCTCGGATGAGGGAGGGAAGCAGGGACTGTTCCAGCTGTCCAACCTGGCCCGCGACGAGCAATTGGTGTGTATGACGCGAGGCGTGATCCCCGCACGGAAGTCATCGGAGAAACACCTACCGTACCCAGTTTGCATGAGTTCGTAGCATATGATAACATCTGTGCTGAGTGCGGTCTTGAAGATCCGGAAGAAAACGAAGGAAGGAAGAGCGAAATTACGAAATTAATTTCGGCGAAATTGTCCCCCGCTCAACGTGGATGGTAGGCGACCACTACCACGACCAACTCAACTTCGTGACACGTTTTTACAAGGTGTGAAAATTAGGTTGGGCTTGTGATGGGTGACCGTAATTGACTGACAGACATTTCGAAACATCCGATTTGTACCGAACGAGATAGTGCAGTGGTTAAGACGCCAGGTTACGGACTGGTAGGTCCGTAACCTCAGCATAGTTAAGACGCCAGCTTACGGACTGGTAGGTCCGTACCTAACCTCAGCATCTCGACTGCTCCTGTCTAGGCTTAGGCAACCTTCCCGCTTTCGTTAGCGTGGCAGCTGAGCACCGGAAGGTTACTACAGCTGAACGATTCTTTTTAAGCGAACGTTGTCACGTCTGATAGTATCGTATTATGGAAAGAATCTTTGGCAAGTTCATGTAAAAACTCCTTAACTAACAGAGCCTACAGGTTACCAGAAAACGTTTGGTCATGGAAAATAGTCTATAGAGAGGGAACAACTTCGAAAGAATGTCGCCATTCGCGTTGCGGCTAAGAAGCGTTCACGTATTTACCAATCGACAGTTGTTTGTCGACGGACAGCAGTTTACCACTCGTTTCTCCAAGTGTTGAGTTGAAGTGTACCTCATATTCGGAAGGACCACCATACAACTTTCTGAAACGAAGACTAGGGACGTACTAAGATGGAGGGACGACAGAACGTTGAGAGTAGAAAAAACGAGACGAGATATGCATGGTCAACGCTCACCTGTCGCATATCACCATCCGCCGTGAATACAATTGCTTCCAAGCCCTCATCCGTGTAGGAAACACTTTCCGCACGACATACTTCAAGTAATCTGGCCATAATTTGTGCCGCGGTCAGGCGAGCGTAGCGTAAAACCGCGCATCGGGATTGGATGGGTTCGATAAGTTTTGAAGAGTCATTGCAGGCCAGTGCGAACCGTGTGGTGCGCGAGTAGATTTCCATTGTGCGTCTTAGGGCCTGTTGCGCACCCTCAGTCATGCTAACAACGCAAATTGGTAGTAAGAAGGAAAGTGTTTGTGTGATGTTTTCAAAGCTGGTGTCAAGAAAAACTGAGCATCAGTTGAGATATGAGCGCAAAAACCAAATAAGACCATGGTTTGAATTGCCCTTAGCGTACCGATTGCTCCCGTTAATTTCTTGATCATCATACTTACAGGAAGGTCCCAAGAGAATATCATTGACAAAGAGACCGAATAGGACAAATGTGGTGCCTGTCGAATTCCTCCAAACTGCGTTGCTCAATGTGCTTTCAATCTTGGTCGAGTAAGCTTGGTAGGTGATATGAGAGGGATGCTATCTACAACATGCCCACTGATTTTTCGGACGGACCGACGAAACGGTGGACCATGGTTCCATGCAGGCTCAAAGTTCTGTAAAGACAACGCACGGATTCTCTCAGTGAATTAACTTATCATACGGGTAGATTTGTGATTGGAAGGTGATCCGTGTTTCTCTTTTGATCACACCTGTCGAAGTGAGCAGTTCGAACACAGCCAGTAGGGCACCCTGGCAGTGTAGATGGGAGGTGTAACTGCCAGAGAGATCAGATTCCTGAACCTACTGGGACCCTAAGAATCCACCAAAATCTCAACAGGGAAGCCGGAAAGCACCCGGACCAGTCAACTACTCAATCAATTCAGCAAAAGCCTATGAGTGTTCAGACACGCCACAAAGCATTTCATAGAAGGACGGTCGATGTTGATCGGTATTCACTGAATGCCGATCAGGCAGCCTGGATCAATGTCAAAAGTGCTACCCCCTGCGTTACTTTTCCCTCTGGGCTATTGGAGAGATGGCATGCGCTTCACAACTTCACAGTCTAAGGGGGCAGAAACAAGATTGGGTGGGATCGGAGTCAATGCACATACTTGCAGACGAGCCAATCGATGTGGTAGATAAATTTGTTTATTTGGGAAGTTGTATAAGTCCCGGCGGATTGGAAAGACAGGGCACCTTTTACCAAATGCAGACGTGACGTCAGTTAATCAATCAACAGCAAAATTTACACTACAGCAGTGCGGTCCATACCGTTTTATAGATCGGGAACGTGGCCTCTACGTGCAGATGACATAGGGAGCTGTCAGCGTTCGACCATCGGTGTCTCCGAAGCATTGGTCGGATCTGGTGGGAGCACCAGATTAGTAACGTTGAGGTACGCCAGATGGTCCTAGGAAGAGGGAACTTTCCCAAGATAGACGAATTAGTCACGCTTCACAGGTTACGCTGGTTAGGACATGTACTCCACATGTCAGAGGACTATCTGTCTGGCAGAGCTCTTTCAGCCCAGCCACGTGTTGGATGAAGTGGATGGTGCATGTCCTTGGAACGAAGTGTGAAAACGATGACCAATAAACTTAGTTGGATCAACAACTGCTGCCTCTCTGAATGGAGATCCCGGGACTCAAACATCAATGGTTAACGACACTGAAAGAAATGGCCCAATCGCATAGTCAGTGGTACTCCTGCATCAAAGCTAGCACTCCTAATGCGCAGCTGCCCAGAACTAACTGAACACGCCATAGCCTTCAATGCTTGGCCGTATCTCCCACGCTATGCCACCTTCCGGCAATCGAACCTGCAACAGATGGAACCAATGTACCCGAGGTACATGATTTATAGCTGATAAACCCAATTGATTGGCTGGTGAACACTATGGGATCAAAGATTGCTGGAATCCTAGATGAGAGATGAACTCCGAAACAAACTGACTAGAGAAACAGGAATCGCAAGAGAGAAGTCCGAAAGAAGAATAATTCCCAATAAATTACGGAAAAGTTGGAAATGCCCCTTGGTCCGAGTCACGAGGGAAAGTCGAATCATGTCGTAAATCTATCGCGCATCATCTCATCCGAGATCTCGCTCTAAAGTTCACGCTGTTTTCATATCCATCCACAACCTGCTTTCTTCATTTTCCACGTTTCAGCATATTCATCCGCCTCAGAATGACGTAGCAAACACGAGCGAGTTGACCACAAGCTCATGATTTGACTCAGATTCGGTATAAGTCGTTTGGCTACTCCACCGTATTCATTAAGGAGAGTCGTGTCTGTGGTTGCTATGTTGCGCGGAACACGTATTTAGTGTACTGCGGCTAGCTCCTGTGTTAGGACGGTTACAACATATTTCGATGCCACTTGGCTCCAAGCGACAAGCATCGCAAACTGATATCTGATCCGATAGTGAAAAAACATGCTTGCGGCTGACCACCAGCGCACCCAACAGCAACATCAAACATTATTTTGGACAATCAATGGGGCCGTCCCTTCGTAAGGGTGATTCGCAAACACTAATGGTCAAACACTATGAGCCATCGAACACTGTTGAAAATTAGAGACCAGGCCACACATCCACGAAGTAGGACAAGGGAAAACAACTTGGTTCGAGTTGTTCCGATCGTATGGTCTCCAGCACTAGTGGTGTTCTGGGATGAACCGCAACAGTTCGAAAAAAATTCGTTTGTGTTAAGCCCAAGAGCGACCACTGTGGGGTGCTCACAAATACGATCGAGTGCAGGCCTGACGCTGTCAAAAGGAGCGCCAAAAAGACCAATGTCGTCAGCGTGGCCAAAAGAAGTTATCCATAAGACTCCGCTTAGTAGGACTTTACTCCATCATCCACTTTTCCGGTGGATCGGGTGCGCTTACTGGTTGTACGTCAAACAGAGATTAGACCTGACCTAGATGTGACGGGTCGGGGGTTGGAACACGCGTGGCGCTTTTTTCTTCAAAAAAGGTGATGCTCTATTATTCCCCACCAAACACTGCTACTTTGTAGCCAGGCGTTTGATCCAAAGGCTTTGGTTAAGGACCCTATTTACCTTCCTAAGTTTCGGCCACAACACTTTTGCGTCAGCCGATACTGACAATCTCAGGCATCTCGAAATCAATTTTCAATGCAAGTGCAGCGGTTGAGCTAACTCCCCTTTTATAAGGCACCGAATCATTGGTGTTGAACACTGATGTTACGCTGTCGATGATGATGGTCACTGGTAGTTACTTAGTATTGGTATATTGATATTGATCTGTTCGCCGAGCTTGGCAGTTAACTCGCAAACGTTTCGTCATCACTAGAGAAGACATCACTAGTGCGTTCACTGATGGCCCAGTAGACACATCAGAGCTACCAATAGTTCAATGACTTTTCAAGTAAGGGAACAGAACGGCCTATTGACGGCGTTAAAGATTTTAATGGAAAGTAACCTAAGGCTGTAACGAAAGAATAGGAGACGTGTCACGAAGTGCTACGAATCAAACAAAATACTATAAAGATGAAGACCGAAAGCGTGAAGGAAAAGCTATGAAGATGCTTACCTGTCAGCTTCGTCCAGAATGATTATTTTTTGACGTCCCGGAGGCAGGGTCACTTTCTTTTGGGCAAACATCTTGATTTTGTTCCGGACCACGTCAATTCCACGATCATTGGAAGCATTCAGTTCGAGTACGGCCTCCTTGTACGAACTACCGATGAGGGCGTGAGCCAAACAAAGAATACTGGTGGTCTTACCGCATCCTGGCGGTCCCTAAATGGAGCAATCGATCACCACGACACCTGAAGACTTACCGCGATTATAATATTTGGCACGTTCCCTTCACGGGAGAATGCAGTCAGTCGTAGAATGGTTGCTTCGTTGCCCACAATGTCTGTCAGGACGACGGGCCGGTACTTTTCAACCCAAGGAATATCGTGGGATAACTTCGTATTGGGTACCACAGACTCCATAGCTAAAAGCATATCAAAGATGGATGAGAAATCATCGAGTTGTTACGTCCAGCGAAAAGCGATCAGAAGGATATCAGTCAATTTATCAACCGTAAACCATTCATGGTAGGCACATTCGTTACAGCTCCTATAGTTTCGATCACCAGCAATTCGGAGGATATGGGACACAGCCAAGTATCGGAGGCTTTCATGCATAAGCGCCACTGGCTGCGCGATCAGGTCATTTTTGACAGGACCATTAACCATTGATAAGTTGGATAACGGGGCCCCAGCCACGGAGACTGCAGCTGTCCACTCGACTGCGTTGTCAATGGAGTTCAATGTATCAGCTGTTAAACTTGTGCCATATGCACATTGGTTCCACCTGCTACAGTTTCGATCAACAGAAAACGGGAAAGTGGAATATACAATCAAGTCATGGAGGCGAAGTCATGTTCGGTTTGTTCGGGTAGCTACGCACTGAAGGAAATAGCTTTGACGCACAAGCGCCAATAACTAAGCGACTGGGACATTTCCGCCAGTGTCATTAACCACTGGTGACTTGAGTTCCGGGGTCCCCATCCAGGGAGGCGGCAGTTGCCCACCCGAACAAGTTTACTGGTTAGTGTCTTCATACTTCGTTGCCAGGTCATACACTGTGCACTTCTCTGTCGCCTCCGCTCAGCAAAGGGCTGGGAGAAAAGAGCTCTGTGAAGCAGACGGTCTTCTGGCATGCGGAGTATATTTCCAAACCAGCGTAACCTGTGAAGCGTGAGTAATTTATCTAGGGTGGGAGAGTTCCTTCTTCCCAACATTATTTGGTGTACCTCAGCATTGCTAACCCGATGTTGCCACCAGATCAGACCAATGCTTTGGAGACACCGAAGGTCAAACACTGACATCTTCCGTATGTCCTTTGCATATGGGGGCCACGTTTCTCATCCATAAAGCACCGCCGCAGTGTAAACGCTTCTTTTGACAGATAAACTGACGTCACTTCGGCACCATAGGTGCCGGAGGTAGGCAAAAGCTTACTCGGCCTTTAGTATTCGAGAAATATTCTCATCTCCAGCTAGTCCACCGGGACCTACGCAGCCGCCAGGGTAAGCAAATTTACCTACCAAGTCGATCGGCTCACCTGCAAACATGAGGTGTGGGTTCGATCCCATCCAGTCACGTAGAAGCACTTTGCAGGTATGAAGCGCATGTCAAACTGTGCGGCAGAGTCATTTAGGTTATTTAAAATCGTTTGCATCTGGGAAGGATATGAACCAAGGAGAGCAATATCG